CTGATTGATATAACGATCACCTTTACAGAAGTTATTCTAATACTTTTGACTTATGCTGAGTTTTTAGGTCCTTTAAACTTTGTCAGGAATTAATTTTAAACTAGTTGTTGGGTTCAAAGAAATAGAAATGGTAACTAAATGCCAAACTTGTAAATCCATATACCAGTTTTCAAATGATGGCAATCAATTGTTAAATAAAAACTTACTCTAGAAAGCAAGGCACCCAACAATGAACACCATTTATATCAGCACTTGAAATGATTGAACAACTGGCTTCTTTTGCTTTTCCATTGTTTATTGAATCATACTTGTATTTTTCCAAAAAGTATATATACTCCTAAAATCCTAAATAGACATGTCTTTCTCTAATACAGCCATTCTAGTGATTAAATAAGAATCAAATACCATCGAGGGTGATAAGCAAAAGGACTCAACGGCCCTAAAAATTTGATAAAACAAATCCATGGACCATGATTCCCCATAATTGGGAAGTTACATGTACCACATTACAATGAATACAAAATACTAAGGAGTGAATCAGTGAAAAACCGTTTCTAGAACTACTTGTCTACAACCCCACACTATTTTTTAATGTATTATCTCTCAACAGTATGCTTCTTGCAATATTTAGTTGTACTCTTCATACAACTCTAGCAAATAATTTTTAATTTTCAAGCGGGACAGAAGGAGCAAGCCTGTGGGATGGGTATAAAGAAAAAGGTACCTTGAAGAACCTGAAAAAGGATAGCTGTTATAGTTACCAGGGACTAAGGTAAGATTGTATTTGTTTAATAGCCATTCCAAATTGTATAATATATTCACATGATCGTCCAGATTTCAGACCTAATTTATTTATCTGTATTTATTTTCTTTCTTCTCTATCTTTCCTTCTTTTTTTTTTTTTTTTTTTGAGACAGGTCTTGCCTCTGTTACCCAGGCCAGAGTGCAGTGGATGGATCATTACTCCTCCACTGCAACCTCAAACTCTGGGGCTCAAGTGATCCCGTGCCTCCTGCCTCTGCTTCCCATGTAGCGGGACCACAGGCCCAACATACTACCACAACTTAGCCTCCATTTATTATTATTATGTTATTATTATTATTATTTGAGACGGAAATCTCACTCTGTTTGCCAGGCCCTGAGTGCATGGCCAGTCTCGGGCTCACTGCCAGCCTCCCACCTCCCGGATTCAGGTGATTTTCCTGCCGAGTGACGTCTGCGATTATGGTCGTCCCCGTGCCACTAATTTGTATTTATGGGAGATGGGGCTTCTACATCGTGGCCACCCTTGGTTACATCTGATCTCAGTGACTGCCAACACACGTCCAGTGCGGGGATACAGCGTCCGTGGCACTCTGCATACATTAAAAAATTTTTTTGTAGAGACGGGTCTCACCTGTGTTTCCATGGCATGGTCCTCCAACGTCCTGCCTCCCAAGCGACCCTCTGGCTCAGCTTTGCAAAGTTGCCTGGATTAGAGGCATGGAGCCCCACCTGCACCAGCCAGATTGTGTTTATCTTCAATAAAGATTGGCCGGGCGCAGTGCCGCTCAACAACCTGTAATCCAGCCACTCTGGGAGGCCAGGCGGAATGAATCACGTGGAGTCAGTGAGTTCGAGAACCAACCTGATGCCCCAACAATGGACCGAAACCCTCGTGTCTCTAAAATACAAATTAGCGGCGCGCGTCGGTGCTCGCACGCCTATAATCCCAGCTACTCGGCGAGCTGAAGCAAGCAGAATCCGCTTGGACCGGGGGACGGGCAGAGGTTGCAAGTGGAGCCGATATTCCTTTGCCTCCCAGCCCTGGGCAAACAAGAAGTCAACTCTGTCTCAAAAAAAGATAAAAAAAACAGTATTCATTGAATTAAAATGCCCTTGTATTCCAGTCACCAGTAAGAGTAAAAAGAACAAAAGTATGAAATATATGCCTCTTTCATCGCTTAGAATCTTGAATTTTAATCTTGTTGAATGTGCTGGTTTTCGTTTATTTAGACATAGATACATAACAACCAATGTATAATCTGTGACCAAATTCGGTGCAGCCATGGGCCAATGAAAAAACTGTTGTTATGACTGCCACCTGGTGGATAGCATTAGTAAGTTAGCCACTGTGGTTGTACAAACGGATCCCAATTTCAAAGAATTTGAATGTAGGGAAAAAATGTTTTAGAACTCAATGAAATAGACCTGAAATGTAGAAATATTACAGTAGGTTGGAAGCCATCATGGGAGAAACTGTAATTTTTTTTTTTTTTTTGTAAAGCTATTATATACATTTTTTTTGAGACGGGGTTCTCAGTCCTGTAAAAAAAAAAAAAAAAAAAGAAAGAAAGTAAAAGAACTGGAAGCAATAAAAGAGAACTGCAAAAGAAAATTAAGAAAAATAGAGTTATTAGAGCAAAGTGCTTGCATCTGGAGTTCTATAAGAGAAAAATGGTTAATGCATTATTTTGTTAAGGGAGTTATAATTGTGTGATAATGTGTCTGAAGTAATAAAGGTCTAAATTGATTGAATGCATAAATGTACATATTCATGGCTAAACATATGGAAAAATGTTAAACCTTTTGAATCACTATTATGAGAACTTAGGTAACAATAATAGTTACACCAGACTTGGCCATATTTATATTTTTGTATAAAAAATACACATATGTATGAATATACATAAAATTTTCAAATGTTATTTTTGGACTTCCTTATTTTTATTTTATGAATAAAGAAATCTGAAATTTTGAGTTATTAGTTTTTCTTTTCTTTTTTTTTTTTTTTTTTTTGGACACAGGGTCTTGCTCTGTTGCTCAGGTTAGAGTGCAATGGTGCAATCACATCTCACTGCAACCTCTACCTCTCCAGCTCAAGTGATCTGTCTCCTCAGTCTCTCAAGTAGACGGGACCACAGATGTGTACCCCAATCCTGCTTAATTTTTAAATTTTTTGGTAGAGATAAAGTCTCACCTTGTTGCCCAGGCTGGACTTGAGCTCCTGGGCTCAAGCAATCCTCCTGCCTTGGCCTCCCAAAGTGCTGGAATTACAGGTGTGAGCCAACTGTGCCCGGTCTTCATAAACTTTTCTTTACATGTCCTGAATCAAGTACTTATTGAGCACCTACTGTCAGCCAGGCACGGTATGAAATTGACCTGTTTAAGGGGGTGCATCTGGTTATTTATTTTCAGGATGAGGAAACAGAAGAATGGGGGAGGTAGTACATATTCATAAGGAGACAGCATTTCTTAGGCACTTTGTGTGGTGTTTATAAGATTTCATCTGGCCGGGCGCGGTGGCGCATGCCTATAATCCCAGCACTTTGGAAGACTGAGGCAGGCAGATCACAAGGTCAGGAGATCGAGACCATCCTGGCAAACATGGTGAAACCCCATCTCTACTAAAAATACAAAAATTAGCTAGGCGTGGTGGCATGTGCCTGTAACCCCAGCTCCTCGGGAGGCTGAGGCAGGAGAATTGCTTGAACCAGGGAGTCAGAGGTTGCAGTGAGCAAAGATCGCACCACTGCACTCCAGCCTCGGCTACAGAGCAAGACTCCATCTCAAACACACAAACAAACAAATAGACTTCATCTGTTTTATCAAGAGTCATTGTAATATATTGATTTTGAAATTTCAAATAATTATAAGGAATAGTATGAAAATTTTTGTTTGATTAAATGGGGACATGAGGCCAGGTGTGGTCACTCAAGCATGTAAACCTAGCACTTTGGGAGACCAGGGCAGGAGGATTACTTGAGCCTAGGAGTTCAAGACCAGCCTGGGCAACATGGCAGGACCCTATCTCTACAAAAGAAATACACAAAAATTAGCTAAGTGTGGTGGCACATGCCTGTAGTCTTAGCTACTCGGAAGGTCAAGGGAAGAGGATCGATCACTTGAGTCCCGGAGTTGGAGGGTGCAGTGAGCTAGGATCATGCCTCTGCACTCCATTGTGGGTGACAGCAAGACTGTTTTTAAAAAAATGAGGCCAGGCGTGGTGGCTGACCTCTGTAATCCGAGCATTTTGAGAGGCCAAGGCGGGTGGATCACCTGATGTCAGGAGTTCAAGATCAGCTTGGCCAACATGGTGAAACCCCGCCTCTATATTAAAATTACAAAAATTAGCCGGGTGTGGTGGCACACACCTGTAACCCCAGCTACTCCGGAGGCTGAGACAGCAGAATCGCTTGAACCTGGGAGGTGGAGGTTGCAATGAGTTAGGATTGCTCCACTGCACTCCAGCCTGGGCGGCAGAGCGAGACTGTCTCAAAAAAAGAAAAGAAAAGAAAGACTAAGAAACCAATTTTCATTCAGACAAATGGTCAAAAATAATAGAAATAAAACAAAAATTAAAATTAATTTTCAAATATAATGTGATTTGAGTATAACGATCACTTTACAGAAGTTATTCTATATACTTTTTGATTATGCTGAGTTTTTAGGTCCTTTTAAAACTTGTGTCAGGAATTAATGTTTTAAACTAGTTGTTGGGTTCAAAGAAAATAGAAATGTGTAACTAAATGCCACACTTGTAATCTCATATACCAGTTTTCATGATGCAATCAATTGTTAAATAAAAACTTACTCTAGAGAAGAGGCACCCAACAATGAACACATTATATCAGACTTGAATATGATTGAACAATGCTTTTTGTTTCATTGTTATTGAAATCATACTTGTATTTTTCAAAAGTATATATACTTAAAAATTCCTAAATAACATGTCTTTCTCTAATACAGCATTTTAGTGATTATAAGGATCAATACCATGAGGTGATAAGCAAAAAAGGACTCACGGCCCTAAAATGTTGATAAACATCATGACCATATTCCCCATATTGGAGTTACATGTACACATTACAATGATAAAAATACTAAGAAGTTATATAGTAATGTTTCTTAGACTTACTTGTCTACAACCCTATTTTTTATGTATTATCTCTCAACAGTATGCTTTGCAATATTTAGTGTACTCTTCATACAATCTATGCAAATAATTTTTTATTTTAAAGCAGGACAGAAGGAGCAAGCTGTGGGATGGTATAAGAAAGGTATTGAAGAACTGGAAAAAGGAATAGCTGTTATAGTTACAGGACAAGGTAAGATTGTATTTGTTTATAGCCATTCCAAATTATAATATATTCACATGATCGTCCAGATTTCAGACCTATTTATTTATGTATTTATTTTTCTTTCTTCTCTTTCTTTCTTTCTTTTTTTTTTTTTTTTTTTTTGAGACAGGGTCTTGCCTCTGTTACCCAGGCCAGAGTGCAGTGATGTGATCATATCTCACTGCAACCTCAAACTTCTGGGCTCAAGTGATCCAGTGATCCTCCTGCCTCTGCTTCCCATGTAGCTGGGACCACAGGCACATACTACCACACTTAGCTCATTATTATTATTATTGTTATTATTATTATTATTTTGAGACGGAATCTCACTCTGTTGCCCAGGCTGGAGTGCAATGGTGCAGTCTCGGCTCACTGCAGCCTCCACCTCCCGGATTCAGGTGATTTTCCTGCCTGAGCCTCCCGAGTAGCTGGGATTATAGGTGCGTGCCACCGTGCCCAGCTAATTTTTGTATTTTTAGTGGAGATGGGGTTTTACCATGTTGGCCAGGCTGGTCTCAAACTCCTGATCTCAAGTGATCTGCCCACCTCAGCCTCCCAAAGTGCTGGGATTACAGGCGTGAGCCACCGTGCCCGGCCACACTTAGCTAATTAAAAAATTTTTTTTTTGTAGAGACGGGTCTCACTGTGTTTCCATGGCTGGTCTCAAACTTCTGGCCTCAAGTGATCCTCCTGCCTCAGCTTTGCAAAGTGCTGGGATTAGAGGCATGAGCCACTGCACCCAGCCAGATTGTGTTTATCTTAATAAAAGTATTTGGGCCGGGCGCAGTGCCCTCACACCTGTAATCCCAGCACTCTGGGAGGCCAAGGCGGATGAATCACCTGGAGTCAGGAGTTCGAGACCAACCTGATCAACATGGAGAAACCCTGTGTCTACTAAAAATACAAAATTAGGCGGGCGTGGTGTCGCACGCCTATAATCCCAGCTACTCGGGAGGCTGAAGCAAGAGAATCGCTTGGAACGGGGAGGCAGAGGTTGCAGTGAGCCGATATTGCCTTTGCCCTCCAGCCTGGGCAACAAGAGTGCAACTCTGTCTCAAAAAGAAAGAAAAGAAAAACAGTATTTCATTGAATTAGAAATGCCTTGTATTATACCAGTAAGAGTAAAAAACAAAGTATGATATATGCTCTTTTCATCGCTTAGAATTTGAATTTTAATCTTGTTGAAGTGGCTGTTTTCGTTTTATTTAGACATAGATATAACAACAATGTTAGTATCTGTGACCAAATTGGTGCAGGCATGGGCAATGAAAAAACTGTGTTATGACTGCAACCTGGTGGATAGCATTAGTAAGTTAGCATTGGTTGTAAAACGGATCCCAATTTCAAAGAATTTGAAATGTAGGGAAAAAATGTTTTAGACTCCATGAAATAGACCTGAAATGTATGAAATATTACAGTAGGTTGGAAGCCATCATGAGAAACTGTAACTTTTTTTTTTTTTTTTTGTAGCTATTATATACATTTTTTGAGACGGGGTCTCAGTCTGTTGCCCAGGCTGGAATGTTGTGATGTGGTAACCTGTCACTGCACCATCCACCTCCTAGAGCTGAAGTGATCCTGCCAGCTCACCCTCCCATGCTCGGCTAATTGTTTTTGTTTTTAAGTAGAGATCAGGTCTCATTATGTTGCCCAGGCTGGTCTTGAACTCCTGGGCTCAAGTGATTCTCCTGCTTTGGCTGCCCAGAGTGCTGGGATTACAGAAGTGAGCCACGACACCTGGCCTGAAGATAGTATTTTTAAAATTTCTTCTGTTCTTTTTCTTTTCAGTATATATTTTCTTGTTTTTAAAAAAAAAAAAAAATTTCTATGTAAAGACTGTGACTCCCCATGAAAATAGTTTGGGTGATAATTTGTCTTGAAACAATATTAGTTGGGAAATGTAGATATTTTAATTAATTTTTTTCTTTCAGGTGAACAGTGTGAAAGAGCTAGACGCCTTCAAGCTAAAATGATGACTAATTTGGTTATGGCCAAGGACCGCTTACAACTTCTAGGTATCAATTAATGTATAATTTGATGTGAGATGTATTGGAAATGTGTGTTCAATGAAACTTTAATTACAGAAAGAAATAAATCAGTGATTGAAAATGTGGTCCAGGCTTTTTAACATAAAGAAAATGTGTAACATATACAAAAACAGAAGAGCATAATGAATTTCTAATTATTATTCTCTCAGCTTTGATAATTATCACCTCACTGTCGGTCTTGATTTATTCATACCAAGGGCTAGCAAACTGCAGCTGATGGGCCAACCTAGCTCACTGCCTATTATTATACGTAAGGTTTTATTGGCACACAGCCATTCCTTTTCTTTAGGTATTGTCTATGGCTTTCATGCTGTGGTGACAGAATTGAGTAATTGATACAGAGCTGACACTGCCCTCAAAACCTAAAATATTTACTGTCTGGCCCTTTACAGAAAAAGCCTGCCATCTTCACTTGACTTCCCAGCTCACTGTCCCCCCACTACATATTATTTTGAAACAAATTCTTGACTTTTTTCCATTTATAAATATTTCATGTTATACCTGTAAAAGATAAGGACTTCAAAATAAAATCACTGAAATACCATTATCGCACCTAAAGGGTAATTCCACATTTCTTTTAACGTTATCCACAAAACTGCCCCCCCCAAAAATGCTATTTCCAAATTTCTCATTTTCTCAAAATTTAATAATTTTTACTCTTTTTAATAATTTGTTTGAATCAGGATCTTAAAAAGATCCTTATGTCTCTTTTAGTGTTCACGTGCATCTGTTTTTCATTTTCTTCCAATTTATTTGTTGATGTAACCAGGTCTTTGTCACGTAGTATTTCCTACAGTCTGACTTTTGCTGCATGCATCTTTGTGGTATCTTTTAACATGTTCTTCTTTCCTCTCCCTGTTAACTGATAGTTGGGTATAGAGCCTTGATCACATTGAAAGTTGATTTTTATTTTTTAATGATAAGACTACTTACTAGGTGGTTGTGTTTGTGTGTGTTCATCATTAGTTGTTCCATTTGGGAGGTTAGCAACAGTTAACAATGACTGATGCCCAGTGATGTTTTAATTCTGTCATTCTTTCAGCATTCATCAACTGTAATAGAAACTTTCACTTGTCTTCTGTTTGTTGGTGTAGGTTTTAAAAATATATTAATAAGTTAAATCTACCACTCAAAAAAAAGTAGAACAAAACCCACTACATATGAGTAGCTCTACCATACATTGGTGGATAGAAACAGTAGATACTTGGTAAGCAGGTAAATCTTATTTATTTGTAGCCCTGTGACTTGGGGTAAGTTATTATGCATGTTTGAGTCTTTTTTATCTAATTTGTAATATGAAACTACTACTATTATTATTTGAGATGGAGTCTTGCTCTGTTGCCCAGGCTGAAGTGTAGTGATGCAATCCTGGCTCAATGCACCCTCCACCTCCCGGATTCAAGCTATTCTCATGACTCAGTTTCCCGAGTAGCTGGGATTATAGGCGCCCACCACCATGCCTAATTTTTGTATTTTTAGCAGGGACAGGGTTTGTTTCACCATGTTGGCAAGGCTGGTGTCGAACATCTGAGTTCAAGTGATCCGTCCACCTCAGCCTCCTAAAGTGCTGGGATTATAGGCATGAGCCACCACGCCCAGCTGAAGCTAATATTATTAGCTAATAATAATATTTCATATTTCTGACCATTGAATTATTAAAGGAACCTAAACCATAGTAGTAAGTGCTTTAAAAATGTTGGTTTTTATTCATCTGTTTACCTGACAGTAATCACTTCCTTTGCTTAGGTAGAAAGATATATTCATACACACATACATACACATTTTATTCATTCTTTCATTCATTTACTGCTATATGGTCATTGTGTTTGTGGGGTTTTTGCCCCACATAGTTAAAAAAGCAGCCGTTACTGCTTTCAAATGAATAACAAGGTAGTGTTCCCTGGCTTCTATGGCTGACAGGACTTGCCTTCTTCCTTTCTAAATGGAAGTTATTACTGTGTCAAATATAATTAAATAGTGTATTAAAGTTTCTTGCAGTAAAATAATTGATGGTTCTTATTGGTACTTTCTACGTGTTTTATCTTTAAAGCTCTTCAGTGTATATATAAAGTATTGTGTATATCATACAGAATAAATTTGATTTTGGAGCATTTTGTACTATCTTTCAAAGTGAGTAAGAGTTGGTTTTTATGTTTTGTTTGATGTTGTGATATAGGACATTAGAAGTATTAATATCTTATCAATTAGAGACTCATCTTTGAGTGTGACTTTGTACTTTCTTATTTGTGTTAGTAGAGGAGAGAACAAAAAGAAGGTATGTAATATGAAACTAGGCATTTAAAGGTTTAATATTTTGGATATTTTAAAGTTGGTATCTGTTTTCACCCTCAAAAATGCTATGTGCCTATTTATGAAATATCTTACTTTAAAAGCGAGGAGTGGTAGATGGGAAAGGTGACATCGGCTGGGCGTGGTGGCTCACACCTGTAATCCCAGCACTTTGGGAGGCCAAGGCGGACAAGTCATCTGAGGTCAGGCTTTCAAGACCAGTCTGGTAACGTGGTGAAACCTCGTCTCTACTAAAAATACAAAAAATTAGCCAGGCTGGTGGTGTGCATCTGTAATCCCAGCTACTCAGGAGGCTGAGTCAGGACAATGGCTTGAACTCAGGAGGCGGAGGTTGCAGTGAGCCAAGATGGCACCACTGCACTCTTGACTGGGTGACAGAGAGAGACTGCATCTCAAAAAAAAATTCAAAAAGGCCAGGCACTGTCGCTCATACCTGTAATCCCAACACTTTGGGAGACTGAGGCAAGCAGATCACTTGAAGTCAGGAGTTCGAGACAATCCTGGGCGCCTGGGCAACATGGTGAAAACTCGCCTCTACTAAAAATACAAAAAATAGCCAGGCATGGTGGCAGGTGCCTGTAATCTTGCCTACTCGGGAGGTTGAGGCAGGAGAATTGCTTGAGCCTGGGAGGCAGAGGTTGCAATAAGCAGAGACCATGCCACTGCACTCCAGCCTGGGTGGCAGAGTGAGACTTCGTCTCAAAACGAACAAAAAAAACCAAACCACCTCTTGTCCACTCCTAATCCTCCTTACTGTGTTTCACTTATTTTTTTCCCATGTATTTATCACCTTCTAATAAACTGTGTAAACTTATTTTTTATGTTTATTATCTACTATCTGTCTTCTCCCTGTTAGAATATAAACTTTATGGAGGAGGGATCTTTATCTATATCCCAGGTGCCTACAACAGTGTCTAGCACATGCTAGTTACCAAATAAATATTTACTGAGTTAATAAGTTGTGTATAACCCTTGGCATTGTACCTGAAACAGAGTAGGGCCTTAATAAATGAATGTTAAATGAAGCTATGTTAAAAATATATATATATGTGTATATATATAAAAATAACAGCCAGTTATACCAATTTGCTGACATCAAAATTAACTTTTAATCTATTGCAGGTTTTACAGTTAAGCTTTGCTCTAAGGTTCACTATCATTAAACCAAAAATAAATGATATATATGATCTTTTCTAATTTTTTTTTTTTTTTTTTTTTTTGAGACGGAGTCTCACTCTGTCGCCCAGGCTGGAGTGCAGTGGCCGAATGTCAGCTCACTGCAAGCTCCGCCTCCCAGGTTTATGCCATTCTCCTGCCTCAGCCTCCCGAGTAGCTGGGACTACAGGCGCCCGCCACCTCGCCCAGCTAGTTTTTTGTATTTTTTAGTAGAGACGGGGTTTCACCGTGTTAGCCAGGATGGTCTCGATCTCCTGACCTCGTGATCCGCCCGTCTCGGCCTCTTTTCTCATTTTTAACAGAGAGGCTACATCCTCTCAAACCAGTCTGTATTAGGAATTCCCAGGATCATTCTCCCCATTCTCCATCCTAATTAGATACCTATGTGGCACCACATCTCTGAAAAACTCCAATTTTTAACCAGCACATAATAAATATGTGTTACTGTTAATACACATTTGTACACAGATCATTTTTACTGTCTTAGGTATATCCACTCCCAGACCTTTTGAGTTATTGAAAGACAGGAATATGTTGATGTCACCTTTTTTTTTTTTTTTTTTGAGACAGAGTCTCACCCTGTCACCCAGGCTGGAGTGCAATGGCACGATCTTGGCTCACTGCAACCTCTGCCTCCTGGGTTCAAATGATTATCCTGCCTCATCCTCCTGAGTAGCTGGGATTACAGGTGGCCCTGGTTTGGGTTTTTGGTTTTAAACAGGATGGTCTTCTCTGTGAGAAGTTGCCATGAGTTAGCCATGATGATACCTGGGACAATGATGGTCCACAGAGAAGTAAGAGCCAATACAAAGCCTTAAGAGAACGTACCTGATTTGTCTGTGAAGCAGCAAAGAGGCCAGTGTGTCCCAGCAAGGAGATTATAGTAGAGATGAAGTCAGAGAATTCATGGAGGGAGGGATTGTCACAACACACAGGGCTATAAAGGCCACCATGAGGACTTAAGCTTTTACCACCTGTGAAATGGGGAGCAGTTATAAAGATTTTTAAGAAAGCAGCACAGTGCGGTGGCTCATGCCTGTAATCCCAGCTCTTTGGGAGGCCAAGGTGGGTGGATCACCTGAGGTCAGGAGTTCGAGACCAGCCTGGCCAACATGGCGAAACCTCGTCTTTACTAAATATAGAAAAATTAGCTGCATGTGGTGGGCATGCTTGTAATCCCAAATACTCGGCTGAGGCAGGAGAATCACTTGAACCCGGGAGGCGGAGGTTGCGGTGAGCTGAGATTGCGCCATTGCCCTCCAGGCAGAGCAAGACTCCATCTCAAACAAAACTAAAAAAAAAAAAGATTTTTGGGGAAGGAATGAAGTACTCTGACTTAAATTTTAGAGGGACCACTCTGGTTGCTGTGTTGCATTATAGACTCTAAAGGTAGAACCAGGGAGAGCAATTAAGATACTGTTACAGTCATCTAGGAGAAAAGTGATAGAGGCTTGCACCAGGGTAGTATCAGGAGAAATGGTAACAAGTGGTTGGATTATGATTATACTTGAAGGTTGAACAACTAGATTTGCTGATAGATTGGATAAAATGGTCCTCTCTTTAAGGACCTCATAATACAGTAGGAGAAACGACACATAAATAGTCATCATTGCAGGATAGGGATTACAAATATTTTGTAAGGGTGAAAAAGGTGCCAAGAAAGCTTCCTTGTGTAACAAAGCTGGTTAAAGAAAGAAAAGAAAGCTTCCTAGAAGTGAAACCTAAAGTGTACACTTAGATAAATGAATAAAAATTATGAAAGAATGTGAGGGCTGGGCACAGTGGCTCATGCCTGTAATCCTAGCACTTCGGGAGGTTGAGTCAAGTGTATTGCTTGAGCCCAGGAGTTTGAAACCAGCCTGGACAACATATTGAGACCCCATCTCTAAATTTAAAAAAGAGAAAAAAAATTAGCCAGGAGTGGTGGTATGCACCTGTAGTCCCAGCTACTTACTTGGGAGGCTGAGGCAGGAGGATTGCTTGAGCTCAGGAGATTGAGGCAGCAGTGAGCCATGAGTGCACCACTGCACTCTAGTCTGGGTGACAGAGTGAGACCCTGTCTCAAAGAAAATAAAAAGAAAAGAAAAAGAATTTGAGAAAAGATATCTCAGGAAGATGTGATGGCATGAACAAATACTCAAAGGCAAGAAAAGCATGGTGAATAGGGGAGGGTGCAGGTTGAGACATGAAGTTGGGATTGCCGAGGCATAAGAGATATATAGGCAGATCATGGATGGCCTGGTTTGTCATAGGAAGGAGCTTGAGCTCTATCTGTGGGCAATGGGAAGCCACTAAATGGTTTTAAGTAGAAGAGTGTTATGTGGTAAGATTTTCCTCTCTGGTGGATCACTCAGATGACTGTGTGGGAGTTGGATGTGAGGAGGTAAAGAAGCAAGGTTACTGCTTTGATTTAAATCATTGATTAATCTGTACAACCCTAGTCATTCCAAAAAGAGGCATTAACAGAAATGAATTGGGGCTGGGCGCGGTGGCTCACGCTTGTAATCCCAGTACTTTGGGAGGCCGAGACGGGCGGATCATTTCAGGTCAGGAGTTTGAGACCAGTCTGGCCAACATGGCAAAACCTCGTATCTACTAAAAATACAAAAATTAGCTGGGCGTGGGGGTGTGCGCCTGTAATCCCAGCTACTCGGGAGGCTAAGGCAGGAGCATCACTTGAACCCGAGAGCGGAGGTTGCCAATGAGCCAAGATCGCGCCCAGCTGCACTCCAGCCTGGCGACAGAGTGAGACTCTGTCTCCAAAAAAAAAAAAAGAAAAAATATTGGAGCAGATTCACAGAAGCAGTGTACTGTTATACTGTATGGTCTGTGACTCTGTCTCCAAGAAAAAAAAAAAAAGAAAAATGAATGGGAGCAATTCACAGAAGCAGTGTACTGTTATACTGTTGTGTCTGTTTCTACACATAATAATCTAAACTCTATGTACATGAAAAAAAAATCCTGTAGCTTTTTTTCCTAGCTATAATAAACTAAGAATATAATTTGTTTTTTTTTATTACATAATGAATGGTTCTGTGAACTTTTTGTTAATTTCATTGAGGAGAGTATTAATTGATACCATTTATGTACAGATGTCTAGCATTTCAAATCAGCGTATTTTCTGATTTATGCTTTTGCTAAGACAAAGGGTTTCTGTCTCAGCATGGTCATTAGAAAAAAGTTTATCATCTGAGAAAAATCAGATGACCAACCTGCTAGTTCAAAAAAAAAAAACTTCAAGGTATATTGTATCAGCCAGTTCTAAGAACAAAAGCCATGCAGTCAATTTGTGTTTTGTGCAGAAAAGTAGCCTACTATTTGACCTGTCCAAAGGCATGTGTGTTGTACCATAAACCAAGCATGGTACCTGTTTGTCGAACCTTAGAAGTGAAAATTTAAGAGAGTTAATAATATATGTCTGCATTTTTTCATGTATGTGATTGACTTGAAGAAAGAATCATTTATGATTCAGCACAGTACTCCACTTGAAGAGAGTGCAGCAGTTGGTGTAGAGTGGCCAGGATCAAACTGCTACCTTCTTGGGCTTCAGTTGCTGAGTTTAAGAGACCAGATCTTGCCGGGCGCAGTGGCTCAAGCCTGTAATCCCAGCACTTGGGAGGCCAAGACAGGCGGATCACGAGGTCAGGAGAGGAGACCATCCTGGTAACATAGTGAAACCCCGTCTCTACTAAAAAATACAAAAAGCCAGCCGGGAGAGGTGGCGGGCACCTGTAGTCCCAGCTACTCGGGAGGCTGAGGCAGGAGAATGGCGTAAACCCGCGGAAGGCGGAGTTTGCAGTGAGCCTGAGATCCGGCCACTGCACCTCCCAGCTGAGCGAGACGAGCAAGACTCCATCTCAAAAAGAGACCCAGATCTTGGGAGGGTTTTTTGTCGTTATCTGATGTGGGGGTAGGGTTGAAATAATCCTTTTTAATTGATTAATATAAAAAATAGGTAATATAGACATATGTCACAAAATTTGAAAAAGTTTGAGTATGAAAAGTTCCATCCCATTTTATGCCCCAGCTACCCATTTCCCCTCCGTAGAGGCAGCTGTTATTATGAATTTCCCTGGGTCCTTTTTAGAGGTAATCTTTTTGTATACAACTGTGCACATGTGTGTTTAAACAAACAGTAGGGTACTGTATGTACATACAGTTACTACAGTATGCTTATTTGACTTTGCTTTATTGCTTTTATTTTTTGCCTGACATATATTAATGTGGCCAAATACGGCATTTCCTAGACACCCCTTATAGTTTCGTTCTGTGCTATTTTAAATGCTGTTCTCCTTTCCTGAAATGTCCTTTTTTTGGTTTTGTGGGGTTTTTTTGTTTTTTTTTTTATACAGAGTCTCGCTCTGTCACCAAGGTTGGAGTGCAGTGGCGCGATCTCGGCTCACTGCAACCTCCACCCACCTCCCGGGTTCAAGTCATTCCCCTGCCTCAGCCTCCCGAGTAGCTGGGACTACAGGTGCGTGCCACCACGCCCAGCTAATTTTTTGTTTGTTTGTTTGTTTGTTTGTTTTAGTAGAGATGGGGTTTCACCGTGTTAGCCAGGATGGCCTCCATCTCCTGACCTCGTGATCTGCCCCCCTCAGCCTCTTCAAAGTGCTGGGATTACAGGCGTGAGCCACTGCGCCCAGCTCTCCTTTCTTTTTATCTTTTCAAATTCTAGTCAGTTCATAACCCACTTGCTCTGTAAAGCTTTTTCAATGATCTTTCTTTTGTACTATGCAGTCTTTTTAAAAATACACAGTTTTATTATAAGTTGCCAGTTACATTTAATACATATCTAAATGGTAGAAACTGTGATTCATTTTTTAATCTCCATGGAGCCAGGAACTGTGGCTCATGTCTGTAATCCCTGCACTTTGGGAGGCTAAGGTGGGAGGATCGCTTAAGGCCAGGAGCTTGAGGCCAGTCTGTGGAACATATTGAGACCCTGTCTCTACAAAAAATAAATTAGCTGGACATAGTGGTGTGTGTATGTAGTGTCAACTACTCAGGGGGCTGAGGAAGGAGGATAACTTGAGCCCAGGGAGTTGAGGCCACAGTGAGCCATGATGGTGCCACTGTACTCCAGCCTGGGTGACAGAGCAAGACCATGACCAATAATAATCTCCATGGTATTTGTTTTGGACATATTAATTATTCAGTAACTATTTTCTGGTGATGATAGTGATATCTAACTGCCTCGGGTTACCTGACCTGAATAAGGCATATTTTGAACATAGCCATTCACTTGTTAATTTCTGTTATTTTCGTGACTTAGTTTTTACTAATTATATTTTAAAAGATAATTTTATATAAATGCAAAAACTTTTTATCATGTAACAATCTGGTAACAACTTGAGTAATTTTTCATTTCACATGCACATTTTATTTGTTCATTATCTTTTTTCTTTTTATTTTTTCTTTGTTTTTTTTTACCTTCTCTGTTGCATAGAGAAGATGCAACCAGTTTTGCCATTTTCCAAGTCACAAACGGACGTCTATAATGACAGTACTAACGTGGCATGCCGCAATGGACATCTCCAGTCAGGTGGGTTAAGGTTAACTAACATAAAATAATAAAGCTTGAATGCAAAGTAAGAGTCTCACTTAACCTGATAATGTTGATTTTATTTTATAATGGTAGGTTTAATTGTTCATGTTTTCACAGGGCTATGTTGAAAATATAGTACCTCTATCATTCATAGTATATAAACATGCAACAAGGTATAGTCATTCTAAACATGCTTCATTTGCATATTTTGCAACCTCTGATATTTCAGATTATAAAATATGAAGGTGTACATTCCCAGAAGTGATTAAAATAATCTTTTTTTCTGTTGTGGCTTTTGTGTTTTTTATAATGATAGCTATACTGATTTTTTTCATGAAATAGTGTTTTCTAAAACACATTTTAATTTTTTATGTATCCATTTTTATTGCATATCAATTTTCATATATACTATATGTGAATGTTTTATAGTACTTGATAGAAGAAATTTGAAGCTTCACATAGGAGAAGCATTACAGTCTTATTTACTATAGATTAACTCTGTCCTTGATAAACTTTTGGATATCAACTGCTACAGAAGATTAAATGTCTTTCTATTTTGTTTTCTTTGGAACTCTCCATTTCTTAGGTTCTCTGACATCTGAGCTAGTTTTTTATTTAGTTAAAAAGTTTTTTTACTTGACAGATAATGTACATGTTCATGGGGTACACAGTGATGTTTTGATACATATAATATATAGTGATTAGATCAAGGTAATTATCATTTATATCATCCCATTTATCATTCTTTGTGTTGGAAACATTCAGTATCTTCCTTCTATTTTAAATGATATATTATATTGTTACCTATAGTCATCCTGCAGTGGTGTAGAACACTGGAACTTACTCTTTTTATCTAGCTATAATTTTGTATCCTTTCCCTACCCTTCTCAGCCTGTAGTATCCTCTGTTCTGCTTTTTATTTCTATGAGATTAACTTTTTAAAAATAATATTCTGTGTGTATATATACCACATTTTCTTTATTCATTCATCTGTTCTTGGACACCTAGGTTGATTCTGTATCTTGGCTGTTGTGAATAGTGCTATAGTAAACATGGGGTGTAGATGTCTGTTCGATATAATGATTTTCTGTCCTTTGGATAAATTCCCAATAGTAGGATTGCTGGGTCATATGGTAGTTCTATTTGAAGTTTTTTGAGGAACCTCCATACTCTTTTCCATAGTAGCTGTACTAGTTTAGATTCCCAAAAATAGTGTCTAAGAGTTCACTTTCTCCACATCCTTACCAGCATTTGGCACTTTTTTTGTCTTTTTGATAATAGCCATCCTAACTGGGGTAAGATACCTCATTGTGGTTTTGATTTACATTTCCCTCATAATTAATGGTGTTGAGCATTTTTTCATATATTTGTTTTTGACAGTTTTATTGGTGAATTTTTTTTTTTTTTTTTTAGCAGTAGTTTCATGTGCAGGGCTTAAATTATATTAAATATTACTTTGTTCAGATTATAGCAGAACAACCTTAGGTTAGGCTGTGAAACAACTGCCTTCTGGCTGGGCGCAGTGGCTCACGCCTGTAATCCCAGCACTTTGGGAGGCCAAGGCGGGCGGATCATGAAATCAAGAGATCGAGACTATCCTGGCCAACATGGTGAAACCCCGTCTCTATTAAAAATATAAAAACTAGCTGGGCGTGGTGGTGGGCGCCTATAGTCCCAGCTGCGTGGGAGGCTGAGGCAGAAGAATCGCTTGAACCTAGGAGGCAGAGGTTGCTGTGAGCTGAGATCATACCATTGCACTCCAGCCTAGGCGACAGAGCGAGACACTGTCTCAAAAAACTGCCTTCTTTTTTTTTTTTTGGTATTATTATAATAATGTATAAATTTTTAATTATACTTTAAGTTCTAGGGTACGTGTGCACAACGTGCAGGTTTGTTACATACGTATATATGTGCCATGTTGGTGTGCTGCACCCATTAACTTGTCATTTACATTAGGTATATCTCCTAATGCTATCCCTCCCCACCCCACGACAGGCCCCAGTGTGTGATGTTCCCCACCCTGTGTCCAAGTGTTCTCATTGTTCAATTCCCACCTATGAGTGAGAACATGCGGTGTTTGGTTTTCTGTCCTTGCGATAGTTTGCTCAGAATGATGGTTTCCAGCTTCATCCATGTCCCTACAAAGGACATGAACTCATCCTTTTTTATGGCTGCATAGTATTCCATGGTGTATATGTGCCACGTTTTTTTAATCCAGTCTATCATTGATGGATATTTGCGTTGTTTCCAAGTCTTTGCTATTGTGAATAGTGCCGCAGTAAACATACATGATGTCTTTATAGCAACCTGATTTATAATCCTTTGGGTATATACCCAGTAATGGCATGACCGGGTCAAATGGTATTTCTAGTTCTAGATCCTTGAGGAATCGCCACACTGTCTTCCACAATGGTTGAACTAGTTTACAGTCCCACCAACAGTGTAATACAAAAATTAATTGCAGATGGATTAAAGACTTACATGTTAGAGCATCCCAATAACTATAAAAACCCACTAGAAGGAAAACCTAGGGCAATACCATCTTCAGACAAAGCATGCAAGGACTCTCACAGACTAAAACACCCAAAAGCAATGGCAACAAAAGCCAAAATTGACATAAAGGGATCTAATTAAACTAAAGAGACTCTGCAATAGCAACGCAAGAAAGACTATCATCAGAGTGAACAGGCAACCTACAGAGATAGGAAAGAAATTTTTTACAACTACCCATCCTGACAAAGGGCTAATATCCCCAGTCTACAAAGAACCTTAAACAAATTTACAAGAAAAAAATCAAACAACCCCATCCAATGAAAGTGCGGCAAAGGATATGAGCCAGCACACTTCTCAAAGAGAAGACGATTTATGCATGGCCAACAGACACATGAAAAAATGCTCAATGTCATCAGTGGCTATCCAAGAATATGCAAACAAAAACCACAATGAGATCAAAGCTCTCACACCAGTTAGGAATCGGCAATCATTAAAAGTCCAGGAAACAACAGATTGCTGGACGAGCATGCTGGACGCCAATAAGGAACACTTT